TCTCTTTTTTAAAGAGGGTATTTTTTAATTCCTTTTCAAAAACCTGAAAAAAAAGTACTTCAAATGAGGCGCACGCCTCATTTTTTTGCCTCAGATATAGAGGCGTGCGCCTCATTTTTTTTGCCTCGCAGATTGAGCCTCGAGGCACAGAAGCTGCGCCTCACAGTGAGTCGGGCCTCAAGGCGGGTTTTTTCATACCATGATTGTAATATGCTCTTGAGTGACATTTTGGGAAGCTATCCCCATTCAGAAGAGTTTTCTGTTTGAGTCGCCCACTCTCATCCTTGCTCAATCTTGCTCCTGTTCTCTCTCACTCTGGGGCGGATTTAGCACCTGGCGAGGGGGCGCAGCAGCGCGTGCTGGATCCAAGAGTTCAATACCTCCAGTGTCGTCGGATCACTGTTGCAGAGAGAACGGAGAAGATGGGAAGAAGAAGCCACTATTTCAAGTCATGTAGGCCCTTTTTTTTAAGTTTCGGCCCATTAATTTTGGGCTGAGTTAGTTGGGCCTTTTTTTTAAATTAGGCCCAATAAAATGAAATAACTCCAAACCTTCCCTTCACATTTCACTCCTTTAGAATTCACAGTTCTCCTCCTTGCTCTGTCTTGCCGTGCTGCTTGCTATTGCCTACCGATAAGCCTTCCTTGTTCTGTTTTTTTTCTTCCTCTTCTTTCGGTTGATAAAGGGATAGTCGAATAGATGTATTACGTTGTAATAATGCAAAACCCGTTTCTGTAAGAATAGGTTCAAGAGATTGAAGGGGTTGTTTGACTATTTGAGGATTTTGAGATAAACATTGTGATTTCTTGTAAGAATTTTGTTGAGAAAAATGAGGATTTAGGGGAATGAGGAAAGTTGTGTGAAGTATTGAGTTTGAATGAAGAGTGTTAGAGCAGTGGAGGGTTTCTTTTAAAGAAGGAAATGTGGTGATGGAGAGAGTGAGGAGGACATTGTAACCATCCCTTTTTTGAGCTCCTTCATAAAATCTTTCTTTTGGAGTGGGGATTTGTAATTTAAATAATGGCATCTATTACTTGTCCTCACAATATTTAATGTCAGTTTTCGTGTTAGCAACATAATATTTATTTTAAAATTACTTTTTTACTTAAATAATCTTACTTGTAAGTAAAAGGTTGTAAGGTTAGTCTTATTTTCAATATTATTTAATTATATAAAAATTAATAAACCTCGTTCTTACGATTGCTGATTGTCGACAGTCAATTGTCAACGTCCACCCGGGTTGAACTTTTGGGCTAGGTCCGCCCCTGCTCTCACTCCATGTTCTTTAGACTGCAATTGGTTGGCAACTTAGATTGGACATTGTTTATTGTCATGTCATTAAAGAGCACTATTAGATGAGTCTCTGATTGGGATGAGCTATGGCAGGAAGTGGAAGTATACACAGGATTTGATGCTCACTCGCGACATTCTTCAGAATGAAGAATTAACAATCAATTCAGCCCTTTCTACCAGTAATAATAATAAAATTTTGTTTAAGAGATGTAAATGGGTAAGTAATTAAACACTACCAGCTCTGCAGAAAAGTAATGTTCAAGATAAACGTGTCATATGTAGTTGGCCCCATGGCTTCTTTTGTTAGCTTACCATTTTGCTTACAAGTGCCAACGCTTTACCGGGTTGTATTAATATTTTTATGTGACAGTGATGATAATATTTAGATCATTGCTAAACTACCTTAAATTGTCACTTAACACATCAAGTTTGTAAGAACAAAACAAAGGTATTATGTCTTCAAAATTTCCAGATAACATCTACAAAAGTGCAAGGAAAAAATCTTTAAATTTAAATATTCAACTTTAAATTAGTTAGTTTCAGTTGTATCCAGACATAGATTCAGGACACCTACCAAGACTTACATTCTACTATCAGATAATCATATCAATTGAAGAATCAATAATATAAAGTGTGTGTAGTCAAAGAGCTGCAGCTCATTTCCTTACACCGCTGTAAAATTAAA